ACATCAGTGATGAGAGAGAACCGCTGATCAGCTGCCTCCCACATGCCCCACACTGGGGACCGAGCCCACAATCCTGGCATGTACCCTGACCAGGAATCAAACCCTAACCTCCTGGTTCATAGGTCAATGCTCAACCACTAAGCCACGCTGGCCGGGCTGAAAGTTTTAATTTTAAGTAGTAAATTAAACAGGTAGTAGCAATACACAACTGCTTCTGTTTCCTGGCTTTCCAGCCTTTTAGTCTTTAACCTTATCCTTGTGATATAGAGGGAAGTATGTCTGTCTAGGACCTAACCTCTGCTCTCATGATTTGACTCCTGTGACCATCAACCATCCACCCTGTTGTCCGGTGATATTTCCACCCTCACCCTCAGCATATTTCATCTCCCCGTCACAGTTGCCTGTGTCCCTGGAATGCTACACGGGGCCTCCTGAAGACAACCTGGACCTCCTTCAGCTCTATTTCCGGGCCCTGGTTACTGGTGCACTCCGTCCGCACTGGTGCCCAGTGCTCTATGCCGTGACTGTGGCTCATGTCAACAGCTTCATCTTCTCCCAGGATCCAAAGAGCTCAGTAAGTTACATCCCCGTCTCCAGAGGGAGGAAGGGAGCCTGCAATTGCATTGCTTTTGGGCCAGCTAGAGAGGAGGTGAGGGCCAGGCAGGGCCAGCGATGGGGACCAGTCCTTGGCCCAGTGCCACTGCTCCCTGTTCTACCTCTAGGAGGAGGTAAAGGCTGCCCGCAGGAGCATGCTGCAGAAAACTTGGCTGCTGGCAGATGAGGTAGGTGGGGCATATCCCGAAGGGAGGGAGAATAAAGGGTCTTGGGGGACAGACATCTCAACAGGATCTCACTACCCACTTCATAATGTTTCTTCCCTCTTGGCAGGGTCTCCGGAAGCACCTCCTTCACTATAAGCTTCCTAATTCTCTCCTCCCAGAGGGCTTTGAGCTATATGCCCAGTTGCCCGCTCTACGTCAGCAGTACCTCCAGAGACTGACCTTAGGGATGACCCAAAATGGCGTATCAGAGACCTAGCATAGCTGCTACAGGTGAAGAGATGCATACATCCTCCTGGAGTTCACCAGCAGATGCCTGGCCAGACAAGAGGGCTTTGCATCCTAAGGAAGGGCAGGAGACAGAGGAGCAGAAGGCTTTCCTTCCTGGGATTAGGCTGTTTGAGTGTTTTGGAGCAGGGTGAGCCCCACCATTGTGTCCTGATATCTGGGGCTCAGGATCTGGGGCTTCTAAAGATCAGTGCTGGGAGGGAAGGGTGATTAGCTACTCACCCCTTCTTGGGGACAAGACCCATAAACTCTCCCTCTCCTCCCGCTGACCAGCCTAGATTATATGAACGTTATAACTACGTATTGAAATAAACAACATTTTCTCTCCTGGGATTCTGATTTGGACTGATTTCAGATATGTTAGTTCAGAATTGGTATCAAGGGTTGGGTTATCCTAGGGGAGAAGGGTGAGGGACGGGAGGAAACAGTGGAAGGTGACAACTGAGTCCACATGTGGAGACAACAAAAATGCAGGTCCTAGTTCTGGAGTGCAGCCAGGCCAGGGCAATGTTCCTGGGATTGTGGGCACTTCTAGAAAGACTTTCAGCAGTGTGCTTGAAGTACAGGTATCCTTAACGAGGTAGGTCAGCATCTTGTCTGTGGTCCCCTATTTCCATATCCTGAGATATGAAGAGGCCAAAAGTCAGACTATTGCAGTAGTTTTCTGTTTGGCCTGTTATAATGATACCATAGACTGGGTGGCTTATAAACAGAAATTTTTTTTTTTAATATATTTTATTGATTTTTTACAGAGAGGAAGGGAGAGAGATAGAGAGTTAGAAACATCGATGAGAGAGAGACATCGATCAGCTGCCTCCTGCACATCTCCCACTGGGGATGTGCCCGCAACCGAGGTACATGGCCTAGACCGGAATCAAACCTGGGACTCTTAAGTCTTCAGGCCGAGGCTCTAGCCATTGAGCCAAATCGGTTAGGGCAGTGAGGAAATATCTTATTCAAAAAATGAATAGGTGGCTTTTTAAAAAGTTAATCATGTGTTTAAATGAATGCATAAATTTAGCATTTGTGAAACTTTGAAGTAAGTATATAATTCATTAAATTTCTTATATATTATCTCTAGTTATAAAACTTGTTTTTAAAAGTCTGGCTTC